CCCCCCTTCACAGTTTACGCCTCCGGTCATATTCATGTAGTTCTTAGGCGAAGCCCTGCGCGGATCACTTCACCATCACCGTCACCACGCTGTCGTGCTGACGAAACTCTCACTCGACACTTTGCTAGATCAAGAGTTTGAGGGACGTCATCGAGCTGAACGTGTGCACAACTCGGAGGTGCCGTACGTTTGGTGCTTGATCGGCCAGATCGAGAAGAAGTTCGACTACATCAAACGCGTTGTCAAACACTTCCGCTTTTGGTCAACGAGGGTACGTGGACACACTCTCCCCCTCTCGTTGCTGTGCATCTCCTAGATAGATCTTGCGTGAGCGTAGGATTTTTTTTGAAATTGCATGCTACATAACCCATCATTAGCGCCATATAGGAGGTCCCTAAACGTAGGGGGTCCTCCTATTCCATGCTGGCGAAGCAGCCATCATGCAGCCCATGAATGCCCTTTTGAGCCGGCCCACATGCCCTTTTCGGCCCACTCGCATGGCCTTTTGGGCCGAGCCATGTGCCGGGTGGGACGCCCATGTCTTTTTCCATTTCGTTGTGCCAGCTAACCCAGGGGCGAACCGTTGTGCGTCCCACGCTCTATTTGATGCAGTTCAGTCACGTGTTTTTTTTCTTCTGCAAAAGATCCTCCGATCTATTAATGGTAAGTGAGGGCAACTCCTCCATGTATCAAAATGCATATAAACGTCCCGACAACGCAGTTCAAATACTTTCTTGCCATTAAACATTGTGCATTAAATGTCCGTGGGCTGGTCTGGACGTAGAAAAAGCAAATGTAGTTAGTTGTCTTGTTGTTGTTCGCCGCCTCGACACATTCCCCGACATCGTCCCACACAGAAAGAAAGAGCGTGGAGCCCCTACCCGACCTTATCATAAACGGAAACACGTCGAGTGCAGTTTGCGAGCGTCCAAATGTGTGCCACTTTGGCGTTTGGATACATGGTCCCACCCAAAGCCTTTATCGTGAGTTTTGCTTCAGAACCATCACCGGATATTCATACTACTTTAGAGCGGACGCGAAGGGGCGACCACCTTCAGTGTTCATGTCTGTCAGACCGACGTGACTGTACGACTAACTGGTGCCGCTTCAATGTGAACGGGGTGACCGAGAAGTTTACTCCGACCACTGCACCCTCATTGAAGCAAGTTATCATAACTTTGAGGTCATGAGTTCAATATATAAGCAAGTCGCATTTTTTGAACTTTTACTCGCGTGAGACAAACACAAGTCGCATCGGTGCCTGCTGGCCCAGATGTGCGTCCCACACTCTATTTGATGAAGTTAGCGTCATATAGGAGGTCCCTGAATGTAGGGGGTCCTCCTATTCCGCATTGGCGATGTAGCCAACGAACAACCCCCGCATTGCCCTTTTGGGCCGGCCCATGTGATGGGTGGGACGCCAATGCTTTTTTTCATTTCGTTATGTTGGCTGGCCCAGACGCGAACTGTTGTGTCTCTCGCTCTCTATTTGACGCAATTAGCATCATACCATTGTCTTTCATTTTTATTTTCTGTCTTTTCTTCTTCTTCAAAATAATTCGGGATTACAAAAAAGTTCTATTTTCTTTTCAAATATTCAAGAAAAACAAATTTTTATTGTGAACAAAAAACAATGTTCAGGAAATCATAAAATGTTTGCAGATGTGAAATACTTCACAGAGTAAATTTGTTTTGGGAAATAAAAGTGTTCATGATTTTGAAAAATAGTTTAGGTAGTCAAAATATGTTCGTGAATTTGACCAAATTTTCGTGAAATAAAAAAAGTTCATCAATTTTAGAGAAATGCTAAAAAAAATAAAAAATGTTCCCAAAATTTATAAGTTTTTTAACTTCAAAAAATGTTTGCTGATTCAAAAAATCTTCATACTTCAAAACATGTTTGTGAAAAAATGTTCATGAACTATAAAATTTGTTCCCAAATTTCAAAAAATGTTTGTCAATCCAAAAAATGCGACCCAAATCAAAAATTCTTCGCAATTTTAAGAAAACGTTAACTAATCAATAAAATGTTCAAGAATATGAAAAATAAATGTTCATGGTCTTTGAAATGTGAATGAGTTGAAAAGAATGTCCGTGAGTTTGTATAAAATGTTCACAATTGCAAAACAGTTCACGATCTCAAAAAATGTTTGCGAATTCAGAACATGTTCATGATTTTAACAATATTCATAATTTTTAGAAAATTCGACGAATTTGAAAGATTATCACAAAATTAAAAAAGGAATAAAAAAGAACAAGAATAAAGCGAAACAGAAAAAGAAAAAGAATAGGATAAACAAATGTAAAATAAAATAAATAAAAATAAAAAATAAAATGAAATGAAAAATGAAATAAAGAAAAAGAACAAAAGAACAAAACATACACAAAAAGAAAAACCGGTCTGGAAAGGTTCAAGAACTCCCTAGAACTGGAAAAAGTATTTACTTGGGCCGGCCTATTTGTACGCAGGGAGCTGGGGGTGCGTGCTAGGTAACTATTTGGCGACGTATGCACCAAATATGATATGTCGTCACCAAATAGGGACCTTTTTTCAGATAAATAAATATTTTTAATATTAACGAGCAATTTTTGTATTCGATAGCATTTGAATGTGTGTACTTTTTTGAATTCACATACAGTTTTGGGATTTTTTGGACTTTTGAAAATTCATGTACATTATGGAAATTCGCAAAATAAATTAAAATCCTTGAAATTTTGAAAATTTTGTAAACATAAACAAATACCGTCCGGTTTTTTACTTGGACAACTGACCAGCCATTGCAGATAACGAGCGGAAAAAAATCAACGAGTGAGCGAGCTCGCTGAAGGAGCGAAGGGATGCTTAGTGGGCTTGTCCATTCTTGCGGCGCGTGAGCGGGCTCTTCAACCGGTTCTATAGGTGTTGGTTTGATTCTTTGTGGAGGTGAAATATTTCATCGACACCATGATGAAGATATTGTGATTCGACGGCCCTCACTTTTAGGGGATCATCCCCGGTCCAAGTACGTTCATCGATCAAGGTTTCCTGTCTTTTTGGATGGGCGACTTAAAACGGTTTCAAAAATCATTATTGCTAATGTTCGTGCAGGTGAAAGAGGGACAAATCGTTGCTTCAGTTCAATTGCAGCCTCTTTACTAAAGTCTTTGAAGTGTTTTTTCCAGCAGAAATTGATACCACGAAGAAGGTGTTTCCAAGGGATTTCATTGTAATTCTTACCTTCAGGAGTTACTTTGTATTTTCTTGGATCTTAGATCTATACATGTCATGTTACGAGTAAGAATAAAATTACAGGTGGCAAATTATAGCCGTACTGAATCGTGTATTGCGGTATGGATGAGTAGATGTTCTCCATGTTGTGAGTATATATAACCACTAGATTGTAACCCTATGATCATAAAACTCCACTAGTTGCCCAAAAAGAAGAATAAAAAAAAGGAGGTCTTAAATTATTGGGAAATGTTTCCACCCGGTGCGCCGGCGGAAACATTGGGCCGGTCCTGTCGCTTGCGTTCGATCGCACAGATCCAGCCTACGAGCGTGGCCCCGCACGCCTCGCGCCCCTTCCATATGCGCTCCATCCCCTACCTCCAGCCATACGCGCGCGCATCTCTCCTCCCCCCCCCCTCCCCTCGGGCTACGACTAGGCCACCACGAGCTCCATCGCCGGCGGCCAGGCGCTCCCTCGCCGGCAGCCATGGGCTGCCTGCTGCCATGGCTAGATCCATCCCCTACCTACAGCCTTCACGTGCGCGCATCCCTTTCCCCCTCCTCCCAGGCTACGACTAGACCACCACAAGCTCCATCGCCGACGGCCAGGGCGCTCCCTCGCCGGCCGCCATGGCTGCCTGCCGCCATGTCCGAATCCACCCGCGTATACAAGTGTTGCAACCGTCATCTAGAAAAGCTTCAACAACTGTTGAGAAAAGCTTCAACCATAGACATAGAAAGCTTCAATGGCACTGCACAACAAAGGGAAGCTGCAACCGTAGTTAGAGTTTGCTACTACCGACGAAGCTTTTTGCTACATCCATCAGGCGGAGCTGCGACCTCGCGACGACGGCAAACGTCGTTTTTGCTGCAAGCCTGCAAACGCAGCGGGATTTTTGCTACATCCATGTAAGGCGCAGCTATAACCGGTGTCAAAATTTGCTACAACCTTTCTGCAACGCCGTTTGGAGTTTTTTGCTACATCCATGTAAGGCGGAGCTACAACCGGTGTCAAAATTTGCTACAACCTTTGTCGATTTTTGCTACAACCAGCGTATTTGCATTTTGCTACTTTTGCACAAGCCAGCGTCTGAATTTTTTGCTACAACCCTTGCTCGATTTTGCTGGAACGTGCGCTCGTTTTTGCTGCAACAGGCGACCGAGATGTTACGACGGTGAGATGTGACCGACGAGCTGCGGCAGCAGGTGTGAGCAGCGATGAGCACGACGGTGAGCTATGGCCCTCGCCATCGAAGCTGCAATCACCGCCACCGGAGCTACAACCACGGGGTGCCGATGTTACATGCGTGGAGCTGGCCACCGGCGGCGGCAATCATCGGCGACCATCGGCGAGGGGCGGCGACCGGCAGTGCCCATCGGCGGGGGGCCGCGACCGGTGATGGCCGGGAGGGACGAGCAGCACGGGGCGGCCTGGGGACGCCAGGGGATCCGCGCGAGAGAGGAAGAAGGGGATGGGGAAGTCAACGCGCCCAGATCAAACGGCTGAGGATAGTCACATCGGACGGCCCGGACGCGACCGGCCGAACTGTTGGGCCGGTGCGCCGGCGCAGATCACTGCCCTAAATTATTTCACCTTAAGAAAAGGTCTCAAACTCTTGCTTGGTCGGAGACATAGTTAGTTGTACGTCCAAACTTGCCCAAGTCGACTCGGACCGGGATTAAGGCGTGGCCGGTTCCCATATAACGACGGGCCAGGGGCGGCCTACCCAAAAACCTTGGTAATTAGTATCGTCGGAACCTATACGCACACCGTCGTTTGCTTGGTGAAGCCATGGAATACTACTTTGCAGGTACAAGCCAGCCAGCATGGGTTGGTCTGAAGAGAGACCGGTCGGACGGCAAGCTCGACGCCACGGTGACGGACAAGCGGCACAAGTGCGATGACAACAGTTGGAAGGCGGTCGCTGCGTATGCACCGACGGCGGGTTCGAAGCGAGCCTACCAGCGATCCGAGGACGAGATTGACCCAGTGTTCATCGACAAGCGGTACAAGGGCAACTACTGGGAGGACCCTGCTTACGCGGCGGTGGTACGGTTCGGCGGGAGAATGAGAGCCATGGACGATGCTTTCGACAACGAGAGCGAGCGGATGCGGAAGGATTACGCCGAGCAGCGCGCCGCCAGGCTGCGTGAGCTAGTGCGTAAGAACTTGATGTAACTAGATTAGCCCCCCGTGCCGAAGCGCCGTCGGCTTATTAATTGTACTCTTTTGGCGTTCTTCCGTAAGATCGTATTTGTATGGATTTGTATCCTCTTTTGACGTGACTTTGCTATTTGTCAGACATATTTTTCTTGTGTGGGCGTTTTTTCCATGATAATATGTGTCTCATTAATAAAATAAAGATTCAGTTACAAGCCACGTAAATATCGACATTACAGGACTGAAAATATAGGATAATCATATGCAAAAAACCAGCGCCTGTTCCTCTCCGCTAAAGAAAAAGAGACATATCACCTTTTCACCCGAGTTCGACGCGGCTCCATCGCTGATCAACAGCTTTACTGACCTTCAAAGTAGTTTGCATGAAGCGAAACTATTGCCGTTGAAAGAATCAGAACGGGGCAACATTTCCCTGGACACGCCATCGAGCTATAGAACTGACACCCCCGCACAACTACGACGCCGGAGGAGGAAATCAGAACTATCAGCCTCCAACCACAAACCCAACACAAGATGCATCATCTTCCAGCTGTCACTTGTGTAGACAACCGTCTGCGCGTACTCCTGGACGACAAAAGCTCACTGCTCCACCATGACGTCGGAGACAACGCCGCAGTAACAGGGACAGAGCAGAAGGAGAGACACACTTGATGGAGTCGTCGCCGCCGCCTCACCGACAACATCCATGAACCCTAACGCCGCCGGTCTGAAGGATCGTCAAATACACGATGCCATCAACTCCGAGACGCCGCCATAAAGGGCACCGTGGGTGTGGGAGTGGAGTTGAGGCAGATTTATTCGCCCGGGCACCGCTTCCACCACCCCAACGACACACCACGACCTACAAATCCAATCCCTAACTACAGGACGGAGAAAGGGGCCCCCCTCTCTCTCCAGCCGTCAGAGCAGTAGCCAGAGGGAGAGGGGCTAGCGCCCTAGCTGGTGGAGATCGATGGAAGAAGATAGCCTCCCTAGTCGTCTGGCTCGTGGTGGCGGCTAGGGTAGGGAAAACGACAGATTTGTACGATTCTTCTTGTGTCCGTGTTGGTGTTGATTATGTGCGTTGTGGATATGTAGAGATCGGGTATATGCTCATTGTATTTGTATTTTTTTTATGCTTCATATTGAGTCCATAAAATTCACCTTTTGTCAAAAAAAAGAGCGTATTTGTTTACGTAAACTACTACAATATTTTGTCACTCGTCCCCAGAGAACCAATATGTAGTTGGATGATTAGGTGGACAATAATACCCCCCCAATCCATAAGGGATTTGTGGGTGTGCTGATGAGACTGCTCAAGGGATACGATAGCCTAGACCTGCGGCGGTTAGCCATAGAGCGCTGGCGAGCATGCACGACCTCACTTGGAGCCAAAGTTGCCTGCTTGCTGGCGCCATGCACGCTTTCCACCGCATGCGTGCCACTTGCCGGCCCATGCAATAGTGGCAGACGCAAAGTCAACAAATATGTCTGAGGCTGGTTGTAATGGGAGTATCATAGCTAGTATCAAGCATGCCAACTAGGCAACTTTGATGAGGTGGCATAGAATTAAATGAAGTAAGAGAGGGTTGAGTATCATATCATGATACCGTATCATAATAAATGATACACTAGTATGTGTCATGCATGACAATAAATAAAGTCATCTATGATACTATTATATGATACTATGCACTAGGGAGGTAGTATCATACACTAGTATCATATGCATGATACTAACTTATGATACTACCCATTACAACCAGCCTGACGGGACGCGCATATACTCTCGGCAACACGTCTCGTCACCGCGTGCCTGTTTGGGGGGCTTAGGGAGCCTGTCGGGAGGTTGGCCGTGGGGCAGACATTCCCGGGAGGAAAATCGTCCATGTGGAGATCTTGGCCTTGACGCTGTTGTTGGTGCCGAGTAACTTCTCTCCAACATGGATCAAACCCTAGATTATTTTTTTTGTGGGTATCAAACCCTAGATTTAGCACGGCGACATTCCGTCAATAGCAAGACACTTGTGCTGACTCATGCGTGTGTGCCTTTATATAGGTGAGAGTATGCATGTGTTTGTGAACGTCGGCATCGATACCGTCTTTCAAAAAAAGTCGCTCAGCCCTAAGATTTTTTTGCCTGATGTGCGTAATTTCCCAAGAGAAGAGTTCACACGCGTCGAGGCGTTTGCTCAGGAGAGATCCACACGTCACGAGGGGTCCGAGAGAAAATCCGTGACTATCACTCCCTCGCAACTGGCGTGGCTGAATGCATTGCAGCTTGCAGTGAACCCATTACCGCAGCTCTAGACCTGACATGGTTGAAGCCCTTGCACTTCGTGGTGCAGTCTATCTGGCACGAGAAGAACAACTTCTGGATGTGATCTTCGCTACTGATTGCTTATCTCTTGTGCACCAGCTCCATTCGAGGTCTAAGATCGCTCCTCATTGTTAGCTCTGTTTCTTTAAGCACGCTCATCGACACCCAGTGGCGGAGGCAGGAATAATTTTGAGGTGTGGCGGAGTTTATGAACCAAAAAAACCATGTACAACTCAACTATGAAGAGTTCACCAGAATAAAAGATATGTATTACTTGGTGTTCAACAAATACAACCCAAAATCCAAAAGTGAAGTATCAGCACTCTAAATACCTCACTTGATGAAGATTACATGGTTGATCGATTGCCAATGTATCATCTATATTAACTAGACTGGCATAAAGATGACCTATAAAATATAAAACCAATGGATAAAACATGAATTAGTAACTATAGTAGGATATAATGGTAGAAAACACATTATGCAATTGAAGATAGTAAGAAAGAATACATAACCGTAATGAAGGTTTAATTTCATTAAATAGAACGTGACAATGGCACTCTTCTAACTTAATTTCGAAATTCTTTCTTAATTTCAGCAAGATCAATTCCTTTTAAATATCTCTCTCTCGATGTAGCACATCATTAAGTCATCAAGTCAACCATTGGACATCGAGAGGTGAGTTTCTGAATCATGGTCCACCCGAACCTATAGTGGGTGTCGTAGGATATATTATTGTTTCACATGTGGATCTGTTCCCTCTTCGAATTCAAAAAATTTCATTCGCCTTAACCTTCCCGAACCAGCGTTAACCATTGAACATACTAGTAAGCATGTGCGAGCTTATTTTTTCTTTCGAACGAGATGGGCTGGCACACGTACCTAAGAACTGTAGCACTTTTTGAAAAATAGCTCGTGAAAATCGAAGTTTTGTCCTAGCAATTTCTAATAAAATCTGAAATAGAATGAAGCCCTCCGGTATTTTAATTCATACGAAGAATAAAGAATTCTGTAAGGATAAGTAAAGTTGTAAATCTGCAGACATACTGCAGCTCATGAAAATCGAAGTTTTGTCCTCACAATTTCTAATAAAACTTGAAATAGACTGAAGCCCTCCGGTATTTTAATTCATACGAAGAATAAAGAATTTTGCAAGGATAACTAAAGTTATAAATCTATACTAACATACTCATGAAAATCGAAGTTTTGTCCTGACATTTTTTAATAAAATCTGAATAAAATGAAGCCCTCTGGTATTTAAATTAAATTTATACGAAGAATAAAGAATTTTGCAAGGATAAGTAAAGTTGTAAATCTACACCGACACACTGCAGGTAGTCTTTTATATCCATAAGAGTACATAATGATTTGAAATGCTCAGTTAAGTCTAACAGCCTAAAAAATGTTCAAAATAAATAAATATGTACTAACACACTGTAAATCTAAAAAAAATATGCCACGTCCACAAATATGGTTGAGTTTTACAGCTTATAAAGAAGCATGCGCCAAAATCAGACTACAAGGGAATAAACAATAAAAATAAAACAAGAAATCTCCCTTTTGATGACGCCCGCCATAGTTTATCTTGCCCGCTGTGCACACATCCCAGTAAATTGTGTCTAGAGATGAGTGGCCCTGAGCATAGGTTCGGGTAGACCATGGTTCTATCCAACATTTTCGATTGGACATCTTGGTAAGCAACTCAGTCTTGATGATCTTCATTGCTGAGAAGGTCCTTTCAACCAATGCCGTTGCCACTGATAGAAGCAACCCCAACTCAATAAGGCGATAAACCAGAGGGAACATAATATGTCTTTCAGTTCAAACTTTTTTTTGGCTAGGCTTGCAAGATCAGAACAAACTCATCATGTCTTCTCTATGGTTGATGAACACACGGAAGTCCTACACGCTAACCATCATCGTTGGAGAAATCTGCATCATAGATGTCTGTAAGCTTGGACAAAACTACTCTTTAAATCTGCAAAAAGAACACAAGAAAAACTAACAGGAGCAATATCACTAGAATAATTAAATAAATGTTCAAGCAAGTAACATGAGTGCATGACACAATTGAACTGATGCGCTCAAGCGGTAGAAGTACAACGAAATTAATACCTTTCACTACATAATTATTAATTCTCTTCTTTGGCGGTGGCTTCATCTGCAAACCCTCGCCGACTTGCCAGCACCGTCGAGTTGCCGGTAGCTGCCTCGCGGCGTCCCTGTCGCTGCCTCGCCGGTGGCCGGTGGCCGGCTGCGCGCCCACAGCTTACCCGTGGCTGACTGCCGGCTGCCGTGCGTCCGTGCGGTGCGGCCGTGCCCTAGCAGCCGCCTCTCGGTCTGACGATCTCAAACCAGAACGACTCGTGCTCATGTCTCGTCAGAGGCAGTCTCGATCGTGCGCTGGTTTACAGCCTACGGGCATGGCCACATGGCCCATCACTCAATCGGCAGTAACTACCAAGCCCAACAGGAGGCACATCTCACATCTTCTCAGCCCAAAACCTAAAACTTATGCTGGCTAATAGTAGTGTATATACGTATTTGGATGTCAGTTTAGGTATGGCGTTGGCCAAACCATGCCAGATAGCTAGCTTCGCCCCTGTCGACACCTTAATGTAGTAGTAGTTGTTTTAGCTAAGTTTTCGTATTCAGAACGGAGGCACATGTCCGGTCTTACAAGGTTCCAAACAGGCCGCTGAGGCTAAGTTGTCTTGTACTTTTCATTATGCTCTGAAGTGTATTATGGAGATTTTGCGTGACTTTGTTGCTTAATCAATAAAATGTGGATGTTGCTAGAAATGGCGTGAACACACTATGAAGTTGGTGACCTGTTTCGTGAAGCCTGGCGGTCGGATTTGTACTATAAAAATATAACCAAAAAAAGTACAGTGTGAAGCCCGTGATAGTGGAGGCCCACCTGTCAGAGAGACATGAGGCCTGGCTGTAAGGTTTGTACTGTAAAAATATCACTAAAAACTAGTGTGAAGCCCATGGCAGTGGGCCCCACCTGTCATAGAGAGAGAGAGGAGGGGGAAATAGAAAACACAGTCGAGGACGGACTGCAAGGCCCAGTTCGATTCAGAACGGGATTAAGCGCGTGCCGGGTTCGTATATACTCCAACGAAAGACCGACCTCGGCGTCATCATCAGAGCTAAAACAACCTTAAGCACGTACGCACACCATCGTTTGCTTGGGGAAGCCATGGACTACTACTCTGCAGAAGTGCAGATGCATGCGAGCCAGTATGGGTTGGGCTGAAGAGAGGCCACGAGCGGTCGGACGGCAAGCTCGACGCGGCGGTGATGGAGAAACGGCACAAGTGCGATGACAGCAGCTGGAAGGCCGTCGCTGCATATGCACCGGCGGTGGGGGCGAAGCGATCCTACCAGCGATCCGAGGATGAGCTTGACCCAGTGCTCATCGACAAGCGGTACAAGGGCAACTACTGGGAGGACCCTGCTTACGCGGTGATCCTACGGCTTCGTGGGGGACGTAAAGCCATGGACGACGCTCTCGACAACCGCGTCGAGCGTCTTATCAAGGAGTTGGAAGACGAGCGCGCCGCCACACTGCGTGAGCTAGCCCGTAGTAACTTGATGTAACCAGATTCTCCCAGCGAAGAAAAAAACTACTTAGATGAGCCCCGTGGCGGAGCCCTGCCGCATTGTTGAACCTGGATATCCAACGAATTTAGGACTTTAAGCATGGCAAAACAAACGTTTTTCGAGGCAAGTAATGTTCGTTGAGGATGATAAGTTTAGTCCGCGATCATGACAAATCTGTTTTATACTATGTTTGCTAGAAAATTTTGGTGCTTCCAAACTAAATTTACCATCCTTGTGCCAATATAAATTGTCTAAAAAAACGTTCATTTACCATGTTTAAAAACCTGACATCAAATATTTAGCCTTTCCAGTTCTTTTGTACTCTTTTGGCGTTCTTCTATAAAATTGTATTTGTTCAAGTAAATTTCTAGGTTGGACAACTACAAAGATTTTCATTTTTCTCTGAGAATTTTGTGACTACAAGGTTGAAGTTCTAAGAGGATCCCCTTATATTGCCTCTATACGTGCATGTCCGGGCGAGCGGTTGGTCATTGACCGATAAAGAAATCGCAACCTAGCCGCCTCCCTCATATCAACTCTATAAGTCCGGGCTGACCGGCACCTTCATATGCAATCCATATCTAGAACAGAAATAAGGAGGCCCGAACGCGTTCGAGCACGTCCATTACGTCTGTTCCGGCAAACGTTGGTCCACCCTGACCCTATCCACATTTGGGCAAAACCCTAGCCACTTTCCACTTCACTCCACTTCAAGTTTGTGTCGCTTCACTCCCTCCCCCCAGCTCCTCTCCGACGATCTCTGACCCCCTCTGGTATGCAGGCAGCGGTTCCGATTCGAGCAACTCTGAATACATCGACTGTGGTGTCGTCCCATGAGGGGACGAGGATGAGTTCCTCGCCCCCCTGGCTCTCCACCGGTCCCGGGAGGAATCCACCTGAACACCGCAAACCGAGTTGCTTCGACGAGAATCCATTGTGTCCGCGCAAGCAACGCTTGGATCCGCCCGTGTCGGGTCCCTCCGGGGCCAAGTATTGTCTGTCCGCCCGTGTTAGGAAAGCAATAAAATGTCAACATGCGGACGCTGAAGTTGAACTACGTTGCTTTTTCTTCAATTTTCGTTGGCTGACAAAACTGCATATCTCTACAAAGGAAAATGATCCCTCCGGGGCCAAGTATTGTCTGTCCCGAGGTTTCCTTGTTTGTAACTAGAGCTGCACAATCTGAGTCTGGGTAGAACTGCTCATTGCTTAGGGCATCTCCAGCCGCGCCCCCAAGAAGGCCTCCCAAGGCGATTTTTTCGCGCCGGCGCCGAAAAAACGTCCCAGTCGCGCCCCCAGGATGCCGAAAATCGCCGGTTCGGGCCTTTTTTTCGCCGGCGTTCACAGGCCGAACCCGGCGCGCTGGGGAGTCGTTGGGGGCTCCGGCGCTAGCGAAAAGCGCGCCTGGCCCAGGCCGACAGGGGAAAAGTCAAGTTTTCCTTCCCCGACTCGCCTCGCACCCCCCGCGCCCTCGGCCACCACTAGCTGTATCCCGACGACGGTCGCCGGCCTACTCCGCCTAGATAGCCATTCCCCGCCTGAAAATAGCAGCGCTTCGCCGCGGCAACCCCTCCCCGCAACACTAGGCGGTGCCGGCCGCCGTTTTCGGCCGCGGAGGCGCGGTTTAACGGCGGGTACACGCCCACGAGCGCAAGGTGTTCGGCGTTTTGACTGACTCGGCGATGGACTCCGATGAGGAGGAAGAGCTCGCCGCGCTGCTGGAGGAGGAAGCCGCGGCCGACGTCCAGGAAGAAGAGCATCTGATGGTGCTCGCCGCCCTCGCCCAGCTGCTGGCGAGCAATGAAAAGCCGCGTCGAGGTGGCTCGGCGCCGGGGCGGGTGAAAGCAAAGAACCGGCATCGTCTGCAAGGCTACTGCATGCTCTACTCCGACTACTTCGCCGATGCTCCACTTCATGGCGAGAGAACATTTCGGCGCCGTTATCGGATGAGCCGAAAGCTCTTCCTCAGGATTGTGAATTCCATCCGGGAGTTCGACAACTACTTCAAGTGCAAGATGGATTGCACTGGCGCTCTTGGATTCACCTCCATCCAGAAGTGCACGACAGCGATGAGGATGCTTGCATATGGAGCTCCCAGTGATTCACTCGACGACTATGGGCGCATGGCCGAGTCCACCAGCATAGAGTGTTTCTACAAGTTCTGTCGGGCAGTGGTGGTAGTGTTTGGGCCACAATACTTGAGAGCACCCAATGCGGAAGACACTGCTCGGATCCTAGCCCAGAATGCAGCAAGAGGATTTCCTGGGATGCTTGGAAGCACCGACTGCATGCATTGGAAATGGAAGAACTGCCCATTTGGTTGGCAGGGGATGTACAAAGGCGCCAAAGGCGGTTGCAGTGTGGTGCTTGAGGCGGTAGCCACACAGGACCTCTGGATTTGGCACTCCTTCTTTGGTATGCCAGGAACTCACAATGACATCAACGTGTTGCAGTGCTCTCCTGTTTTTGCCAAGCTCGTTGAGGGCCATTCTCCTCCGGTGAACTTCGAGATCAATGGGCACCAATACAACAAGGGGTACTATCTAGCTGACAGCATCTATCCGCGATGGTCTACATTTGTGAAGACGATCTCAAACCTTGTGCCAGGAGACAAGAACGCCTGGTTTGTGAAGGTTCAGGAGGCTTGCAGGAAGGATGTCGAGCGGGCATTTGGTGTGCTCCAATCTCGATTCGCTGTTGTTCGGTACCCCGCTTAGACCTGGTCGAAAGATCAAATGTGGGAGATCATGACTTGCTGTGTCATCTTGCACAACATGATCATCGAGAGCGAGCAAGAAGACCCAGTGTTTGACACTGAACCATACTACAGGCAGGGTCCTCTAGCCGAAGTTGATCACCAGCTACCGGCAACTTGGACTGCCTATCTCAGTACGCGTCAAGAGATCCGAGACCCACAGGTGCATCATCAACTGCAGAAAGATCTGATTGAGCACCTATGGAGGCTCAAGGGGGACGCCGCGTGATGAAATATGAGTTTTTATTTGTTGAACTATATAATTTGTTGAACTATTTGTTGTTGTACTATTTTGTTGAAGTATTTGATTTTTCTGTGATGAAATATGTGATAAGGAATAATTATGTTGATAAATGAACGCCGAGAAAGGGCGAAACCACGCCGAATATGGGCCTATTCTCGCCCATATGGGCCGTTTATTCGCCGAAATTGGGCTGCCAAGTGGGCCAATTTCGGCGCCTGGGGGCGAGCTGGGGGCGGCGACTGGGCGAAAAACTGCCCCCAGCGCCGAGTGTCTCGCCGGCTCGCCCCCAGGGGGCGATTTTTGTGCGTCCTGGGGGGGCCAACGGCTGGAGATGCCCTTAGCTGCAGGAAAAGGTTTAGTGGACATGCATACAAGCACGTGACGGCGCCCGTGCCGATCAAGCGGGGGCGGATCATGCGTCGTGTCGCACTCGCACGGGATGATGTGCATTGTGCAGTACACCTGGCTGGCGCCGGCGACCTCAAGGGTAGTTCGGGATGATGCGAGTATTTAAAAAAAACTACCACATGACCGTGCCTACAAACTACAACTTTACAAATTTGTGCCAAAAGCTATCACTTTTTGTTTAATCTTTGACTAAAAACTACCGTGTCGGGAAAGTGCCCGATTCGCCTCTTCTAAACATCTTTCTGACAGGATGGGCCCACCTGTCAGCATCAATCTTCTTCCTCCTCTCTCTCTGGCATTTCCTCAAACACCTCACGTGCACTCCGCCGCTCTGCCCCCGCCGGCCGGCAAGCCCCGCCACCTGCGCCACCTATCTATGACAGCCTGCGGCGTCCGTCTGGCCGTGCGACGGCGCCATGGGTGGCTGCTACTCTGTCATCGCGGCCTCCAGGATGCTGACCCGAAGGCGCGCCGCCGCCGCCATCATGCCTGTGGCCAGCGCCGACGACTGCCCCCCGACAGCGACGCCAACACAGTAGCTGCTGCAAGAAGAAGCGCAGGTCGACCAAGTGGAGGCAGAGCGCGCTGATCCTGGGCGACGACGACCAGTGCGCGCCCGGCGGCGAGGGCTTCGCCAAGCGGTATCGGCTGGGCACGGAGCTGGGGCGCAGGGCGTTCGGGATGACACGCCATTGCGAGCACGCGGCCACGGGCGAGGCACTGACCTGCAAGACCACCCGCCGCAAGCGGCTGCGTCGCGCCGCCAACGCCGAGGACGTGCAGCGGGAGGTGGAGATCCTGCGGCGCATGTCGGCGCGGGCGGCGCCGTGGTGCGGCTCCGCGAGGCCTGCAAGGACGCCGAGGGCGTGCACCTGGTGATGGAGCTGTGCGAGGGCGGCGAGCTCTTTGACCGCATCTTCGCCCGAGCTCTTCGCCGGCAAGGAGGAGGACTCGCCGCTCAAGGCCATCGACTTCGTTCTCTCCGTCTACTTCGAGCCCGGGGAGCGGTTCACCAAGGTGGTCGGCAGGTGGCGGGGAGACGGACGCCATCCTAGGACGGAGGGCAGCGCAGGTGGTGGGACTCGCCGGCCGGCGGGGGCAGAGCGGCGGAGTGCACTTAAGGTGTTCGTGGAAATGAGAGAGAGAGAGAGAGGAGGAAGAAGATTGATGCTGACGGGTGGGCCATCCTGTCAAAAAGGCGTTTAGCGGCCGCCTTCTGCATTCACCTAACCCACGTGACCGTACGGCAGTGCGTGTGGGGTGACCGAGAAGCCTACTCCAACCACTGCACCGTCATTGAAGCAACCCATCATGACTTGAAGGTCGTGAGTTCAATACATAAGCTAGTTGCATTTTTTGAATTTTTACTCGCACGAGACAAACACAAGTCACATCGGTGCCGGCTGGCCTAGATGTGCATCCCACACTTTATTTGACGAAGTTCATGTAGGAAGTCTATGACTCCGTAGGGGGTCCTCCTATTCCACGTTGGCGAAGTAGCTACCGCATTGTCCTTTTGGGCCAGCCCATGTGATGGGTGGGACGCCCATGCCTTTCCATTTCGTTGTGCATGCTGGCCCAGACGCGAACTGTTGTGCATCTCTCTCTCTGCCCATCTCTCTCTCTCTCTCTCTCTCTCTGACGCAGTTAGTGTCATATTGGAGGTCCCTAAACGTAGGGGGCCCTTCAGTTCCGCGCTCACGAAGCAGCCATCGTGCACCCCCCGCATGCCCTTTTGGGCTGGCCCATGTGCCGAGTGGGACGCCCATGTATTTTTTCATATCATTGTGCAGGCTGGCCTAGAGGCGAACTACTGTGCATCCCACGCTCTAGTTGACGCAATTAGCGCCATATAGGAAGTCTCTGAACGTACATGGTCCTCCTATTCCATGCTGGCGAAGCAGCCAAGCGCACACCCCACATGCCATTTTGGGCCAGCCCATGTGCCCGGTGCTACGCCCATTTTTCTTTCATTTTGCCTTTTTTTGTTTTTTCTTCTTTTTCAAAATAATCCAGGATCACAAAAAGTTCTAATTTTTAAAAACACATATTTGAAAATCTTTGGGAAAATAAAAATGTTCATGATTTTAGAAAATAGTTTTCGTATTCAAAATATGTTCGTGATTTGAATAAATATTTGTGAAGTCAAAAAAGTTCAGGAATTTTTGAAAAATGATCACAAAATTAAAAAACTGTTCCCAAAAATCTATTTTTCTTATCACTTAAAGATGTTAGATGATTCAGAAAATGTTTCATACTTCAAAAAATGTTTGTAAAAAATATGTTCACGAACTCTAAAAATTGTTCGCAATTTCAGAAAATATTTGTTTGAAAAATGCGATCCAAATCAAAACATGTTCATGATTTTGAAAAAAAATTAGAGTTTCAAAAAAATCATTCACGGACTCGCAAAATAAATGTTATTCATTGTTGAAATGTGAATGATTTGAAAAAAATGTCCGCAAATTGTATACATGTTCACGATTTCAAAACAATTCACAATTAAAGAAATGTTTGTGTATTCAAAACATGTTCATGATTAAAAATGTGCACAATTTCAAAAAACTGTCCACGATTTTGAAAGATGATCACAAAATTTAAAAAGGAGGATAAAAAAAGAATCAAGAACAATAATAATGGGAAATGGAAAAAAGAACTAGAAAAGGAAAAATGAACATGAAATAAAAGAAACAAAAACCAAATTGAAGAACTAAAAATAAAAAAATAAAAGAAAGAAAATAAAGAAGCATAAACAATTAGACGAAAACACACACACAAAAAACCCTTCTGGAACAGGATCTATTTGGGCCGGCCCAAGTATACCAAGCGGGGAGCTGGGGGTGCGCGCTGGGTCACTATTTGGCGACATACACACCAAACATGGAGCAGTTAACCGAGGAGCGCTCGATAGGAGCCTCCCCAAGGGTCACTTGGGGTGGACTGGGAGCGTGCCACTTGGTGCGCTCTCAGCCACCGCCACGTGTTGCGCTCTAGGCACTCTTTTTGATTTTTTTTCTCCGCTCGCATTTTTGGCTTTTTAGATTTTTTTTTGTTTTTTTGGCTTTTCGGTTTTTCATCGACCGTTCCTAGCTTTTTGATATTTATTTTTCGCGAAAAACACAATTTTTTTGCTTTCGTGAGAGGCACTGCCGTGCCTCTCGAAAACGAAAAAAAGCACGTTTTTTTGCTTCCGCAGAGGCATGGTTTTGCTTTCGCGAGAGGCACGACCATGCCTCTCGAAAACAAAAAAACGCCTTTTTATTTTTGCTTCCGTGAGAGGCACAGCCGTACCTCTCGGAAGCGGAAAAATGCATTTTTTTTTTGCTTCCGTGGAGGCACGGTTTTTTGCTTTCACGAGAGGCATGGTTTGCTTCCGCGAGCATACCTCTCGGAAACAAAACAAACATGTTTTCTTTGTTTTTTCCTTCCGTGAGAGGCACAAATTTGCTTCCGAGAGAGCGACGGATTTGCTTCCGCGAGAGGCATGGACGTGACTCTCGGAAAGGAAAAAAAATTGCTCCCTGTGTGGTTTTTTTGTTTGGTTGTTTTTTTGTAAAAGGTTCGTCAAAATCTATCGACATGTGATCTACTTTTGAAGACCCGACACGAGGTAAATCCAACGATGAAAATGGTTCGAGATTTGAACGCAAGCTTTAAGAGATAAAATGTTTTGAATAAACGAATCTAGAAAAAAGGGAAAATTCTTAGGTTATGACAAGTGGCGAACATGCAACATGACACTTCTCACAACCTGGAAGGTGAAAGTAATCTTTGGAAAGAATACTCCTTAATTAGTGATTTGACATCAAATAGGATCAGCCGTCGCTCAATAGGGACCTTTTTTACATAAAGATTTTTTTAATATTCACGAGCAATTTTTGTATAGCATTTTGTTTAACATGTGAACTTTTTTTGAATTCACATACAAATTTTGGAATTTGTGAATTTTTTTAAAGTCACGCATTATGGAAATTCTCAACATAAATTAACAAAACCTTAAAATATTGCAATCATAAACAAAGACCGTCCGTTTTTCTACCTGGACAGCCGACCAGCCGTCGCAAATGGGTGCTCCTATATGGCGCATGACGCGCTGGCGAACATGCCAGCGCGCACCCCTCTGCTCCCTTGCGCCCCTAGTAGGCCGGCCCATGAGCAGGGCAGAACGCCCCAGTTTTTTTAATTCGTTTTTTATTACTATTCTTGCTTTTCGTTTTTCTTCAAAATAATTCGTAATTTAGAAAAGTTCCAAATTTCAACAAAAGCGAATTTTATGAAACAAGTTTTCGTGATTTGAAAATAACAAACATTTTTTGAATTTTAATGAAAATTTCTTTATTTTGACGAACAAATTTATATGAGCATTTTTTTAATAGTGATGAACATTTTTGTAATATTTGATGAACAAATTTGAATACTATTAACATTTTTTTAAAATTGATGAACAAAATTTGTATTCAAGATTTGTTTTTGTAAACAAAATATGTATTTGGCAACTCTGTGCCCGATTGCAAAACTGCCACACCACTCGGTGTCCCTTCGATCGGCATCGCAGCATGATCCACTTTTTTCGGTTCTTCCACTCCTTCCCCGCGCTCGTCCTCTCCTTCAGGCGATGTCGCGTCGCGGCTCACATATAGTGGTCGCCGCCCCCCCC